GATGTTATGTTGTGTTAAAGGAATCTTGAGATAGTGGAATATATCTGTGGGTTTTAATGGATTTTTATTGTTTGCCTTGTCATTTGTTTTAGAATTCGAGTTAGAGTCCTCCAAGGGCAGATCTCCTGATCTGTGTTTAGAATAACAAAGACAAGACTGTAAACATTCCACTGCAGTGGTCCTAAGTGTATTATACACTGTTTTGTACAATTTGTCTTGTGTAAGGAAGTAATTAACCCTTACAAGTTTTAAGATGGGTAGCTCTCAGAGCACTCAGGAGGGATTTACAGATTTGACTATATTCAAGCATCACAAAGGAAAAAGAGCTATTAAGAAAATTAAGAAGTTACTTAAGAAAGCTGGCATGCCCTAAGAAGGCACTCTAGACCCACATATATGGAGGGGATTTATGGCAAATTACAGAGGATGGTTAGAAGATAATGACTTAGTAGAAGTGGCCCAAAATGGCATGATACTGCAGTTGAATTAACTAAATGTGGTTGTAGAGAAACCACCAGAAAAGGTATACCATAGTATCAATGTTTTTAACCTCTAGGGTTCCAGAGTAGGTAAGATCCTGGGAAAAATCTTGTAAACCCACCCCCTTACCTGGGTAAGGGGACTCCTTTGGTCCCTAAAGACCAGGTGATTTCCCCAAATCAGGCATCTCTTGGTTCTACTACCACTAGTCTTAAAGAATATTGGATCTGTCCACAGTGCAAATGGACAAATTCTAGGGGGGAGGAAAAGTGTACAAGTTGTGGTTTCCCTAAACCCCCATCTCACATATTGGCCCTTTTACAGAAATCAGAACCTCTCTTTTCTGTAATATTACATAGTGGGACTTCATATGGTTCCCTAACCACCCCAGTAAGACCTGTAGCTTCATTAGAGGAAGAGGGTAGTCCACCAGACTTAAGGGAACCCCTAGCTGCCCCCCTAGACACCACAGTGGGGCCATTTGCTCCGCAATTTATTACTCCCATCATACCCAAAGTTGAGATCATATACCATGAGAAGAGACAGCCGAGCTCAGGTTTCCAATACTGGGGAAAATAAAAGCCCTGGACACCCAGTGAACTGGCAATAATACAGCAGCTGCCAGATGTAGAAAAGGCCCCCTTAGTTCCAGTACAGTCTCTATCAACCTTTCAAGCTACTTACCAGTGTACTTGGATGGATTTAAAACAGATTGTCGCCCTAAAAGCTGGCCCCTTTTGGGCTAGAATAATTGCTAAATATACTGATGCCCATGTAGATAGTCTCAGAAGAAGCAACATGTAAACAGATGAATGGTTTAGAACCAAGTCTGCATCTGGAGCATGTTATGCCACTGCAATGAGAGTATGGGCTAAAATAAAGACAGAGGAACTAGTCCATAAATTAGGAGATATAGTACAAAGGAAAGATGAATCTGTTGAAACATTCTTCACCAGACTACAGATGGCTTGGGAGGCATTAGGTTACACAGATATCCTAATTCTCCTTGACCTGTCTGCGGCTTTTGACACTGTTGATCATCAACAGCTTCTTCTCATCCTCCGCAATATCGGTCTACAAGATATTGCTTTCTCCTTGTGCTCCTCCTACCTCTCCCAGCGCTCTTTCAGTGTTTCTTTCCCTGGCTCTGCTTCTTCTCCCCAACTCCTCTCTGTTGGTGTCCTCCAAGGTTCAGTCCTTGGTCCCCTACTGTTCTCCATCTATACTGCCTCCCTTGGTAAACTCATTAGCTCCTTTGGCTTCCAATATCATTTCTTGGCAGATGACACGCAAACCTACCTGTCCTCTTCTGATCTCTCCCCGTCCCTCTTGACTAGTGTCTCTAACTGCCTCTCTGCTATTTCTAACTGGATGGCTGCCCACTTCCTTAAACTAAACTTGACCAAAACTGAAATTCTGATCTTTCCTCCCTCAAGTGTTGTTACTCCTGTGTCTGTCTCCCACCAAGTCAACGGTTCTACCATCAGCTACACCACGCAGGCTCGCTGCCTAGGTGTTCTCTTTGACTCCGACCTCTCCTTCAAGCCACATGTTCAATCTATCGCCAAATCCTGTCATTTCCATCTCAAAAACATTGCGCGCATCCGCCCCTACTTAACGCCAGATGCGACTAAGGTGTTGGTCCATTCCACTGTCCTTTCTCCCCTTGACTACTGTAATCCGCTTCTCAGTGGTCTTACGTGCTCCCAACTTGCGCTGTTACAGTCCATAATGAATGCAGCAGCGAGGCTCATCTTCCTGTCCACGTGCACCTCCCATGCCTCACCCTTCTGTCAGTCCCTACATTGGCTTCCTATAAAATATAGAGCTCAATTTAAAATTCTGGTTCTTGCTTTCAAATCGCTACATAATGCTGCTATCCTCCCTTATACACAAGTATGTCTCGTCTAGGCCCTTACGATCTGCTGAAGACTTACGTCTATCTTCTGTCCGTACTCCCACCTCTGATGCTCGCCTTCAAGATTTCTCGAGGGCTGCACCGTTCCTGTGGAACTCGCTTCCCTCCTCCATTAGATGCTCACCCAGTCTCCACTTCTTCAAAAAAATCGTTAAAAACCCACTTCTTCATAAAAGCGTATCAATTTAACTGTTAATAGCTCCTGACTGATTCCTCTTCTGCAACTGTCACTAGTCAAATACTATCCTTACCTTTTTGTGTCATTTTACCCCACTCCCTCTAGCATCTAAGCTAATTGAGCAGGGCCCTCAACCCCTCTGTTCCTGTGTGTCCAACTTGTCTGGTTACAACTACATGTCTGTTCGTCTACCCATTGGAAAGCGCTGCGGAATTTGATGGCGCCATATAAATATCATAATAATAATAATAATAATAATAATATTGAAACCACTTCCACCAGACTGCTTATTAACTGCTTAACCCATAAGGACTGGTCTCCAAAATGCTAGACCTAAGTAGAGAAGTTTTACCTATGGTGATCTATGGGAGTGGAAGCCAATCTAAATACTAGAAAGAGAAGCACACCTCTAATGGCACTATCTGACCCTAGATCTGGTGGAGACTGAAGGCAGGTAGACTGCTGGAATTGTGTCAGGAAAGGACACATTAAACGCAACTGCAGGTGCCCTCCTAAAAATAAAACCCCCCAGGATTCAAATGATAACTCCCATTACAACCAACCACTTCCACCACCTCCCCCTCCCCAATAGGAAATTGGCAACCCAGGTGTCCCTACATGCTTTAAATATCCCTGACTCAGCTGGACCCTAACCCATAAACAATGTTACTCTGCCCGGGGACCAAATAGTCCCTTTTCTGCTGGGCACTGGGGCAGCCAGATCTATGTTGCAGGAAAAATATGTGTTCCCGTATGAGAAGTATGAATATGTTTTATCATGTATAGGGGTGGATGGGATCCCAAGTGACATTCCCCTTACCCTACTGCCCTTGTAACAAGACTACAAGACTGTCAGCCCTCATACCCCTGCTAATCTACTAGGCAGTGATATACTCTCTGCCCTTAATGCAAATATCCAGTATAGTGCCACTAGACAAGTAACACTGTCTGTGCCTTTAGAGGACAAATAAATTATATCCCTCTCAAATGTTCTGGCAACTCTCACTATGCCCAGCCATGTGCCAGAACCTTCCATTGACTTGTCCTCAGTCCCTGATTCTCTATGGGGGAAGACAGATACAGGCAGACTCTCTGTGCCCCCAGTCAAAATGAATCTCCTGCCCGGAGCCACCCCTCCCTGTCAAACAGAGGTAGCCATTTCACTGGGGAAATAATGCAAGAAATTATGAAAGCCTTAGGGATCAGTCAGGCCTTACCCATCCCATATCACCCCCTCTTTCAGCATGTTCACATGAAAGGATCGCTGGATCCTTTCATCTGCACAGCTGGCTATCAAGTAAGTAGTGTCGCAGATCTGCGCCACTGCCTTGTACGGGCCCTGCCAAGATGCTTGCATCTTGTTGGCCTTCACAGGTTTGAGCACCAATACCCTTTGCCCAACCTGGAAGACCCGCTGTCGGGCACCCTGATCGTACCATCTCTTCTGTCTCCCCTGGGCCGCCTGGAGATTCTCCCTTACCATCAGGGACAGTTTCTCCATGTGGTCCCGGAGTTCCAGAACATATGGCACTATCTTGCTCCGTCTCCCCCTCCCAGTGGCCTCTAATGAGATCTAGGGGTCCGCGGACCCTTCTCCCATACAGCAGCTCAAAGGGGGAGAACCCAGTAGATTCCTGGGGCACCTCTCTATAAGAAAATAATAGATGAGGCAGGAATCTCTCCCAGTCTCTGCAAGTGTCTGTAAAGGTCCTCAGCATCTGTTTGAGGGTACCGTTAAAGCGCTCGCAGAGACCGTTAGTCTGTGGGTGGTAGGGTGAGCTAAGTAACGGCTTAATGCCACACACCTTCCACAGCTGCTGGGTGAGCACAGCGGTGAATTGGGTTCCCTGGTCGGAGAGAATCTCCTTAGGAAACCCGACCCTAGTAAAAATTCTAACCAGGGCATCAGCAACCGTCTCTGCCTCTATATTAGACAGCGCTACTGCCTCTGGATAGCGAGTGGCATAGTCCACCACGGTAAGAACGTATTTCTTACCTGATGGACTAGCCCTGACCAGTGGACCCACAATGTCAACGGCTATGCGGGCAAAGGGCTCCCCTATAATAGGCATCGATAATAACCTAGCCTTAGGGTGGTCCCCCCGCTTTCCTACCCGTTGACATGTGTTGCACGTACTGCAATACATCCGCACAGCCTGGTTAAAGTTAGGCCAAAAGAAATTCTGTGAGATCCTATAGGCTGTGCGGCGGGACCCTAGATGTCCAGCTAACGGAACATCATGCCCTATCCGCAGAATCTCCTGCCGGTACTTTGCAGGTACCACTAACTGGCGATTCGGCGGAGGGGCAACACTCTTCTGGGAAGGCTTAGGGATCCTATATAACCTGTCCCCCACCCACTCATACCGTTCCCCATCTATTCCTTCCTCTCCAGCATCTGCCCTGTCTCTGTACTTTTGCAGGGTCGGATCTGCCCGGGTTTCCCTCCCAAACTCCTCTGGGGAATCCCAGCTTAAGGGGACCTGATCTGGGGTACCAGTCGGGGAAGGAGATCTTACAGCAGGTGGGCTGGTTCCGGCAGCACGGGTCTGGGCACGGGTGGTCACTGGGTTCACATCTGCAGGGCCCATCGGAGCATAGGCTGAAACCAAAGGGGCCAAATCGTTTCCCAGAAGAACATCTGCGGGCAAGTCTTTCATCACCCCCACATCCACATGTCTAGCGCCCACTCCCCAATCCAAATGTACCCGGGCAACAGGTAAGCGAAACACGGCACCCCCTGCTACCCTTACTGCCACAGTGTCCCCAGTGTGCTGATGCTCCGAGACCAAGTTCTTTTGGAGCAGTGTCATCGTGGCTCCTGTGTCTCTCAGCCCATTTACCACTCTGCCATTCAGCTTCACGGTTTGCCGATGTTGCTGGCGATTATCCTGGTGAGCTGCTTGCACTGGGTCGGCCTCGTGTAGGATGCCCCAGAACTCCTCCTGCTCTATGCAGTGAGCAGCAGGCTGAGGTGGCTGCTGGTTCCCACTGGCTGGTCTCCTCCAGGACTGGGCTTGGTTGGCACTGTTCAGTGGGCACTCGGGACGCTTGTGCCCCAACTGCTTGCACCCAAAGCACCGGATAGGTTGGGAATAATCCCGGGCATTAAATCGGGATGGCTGCACATAATTGTTAGCTGGCGGTGCGGCTGGGGTACGGTGTACTGGGGGTTGGTAGGCTGAAGGAGCGGGTATAACTGCTGGTCGATACTCCAGTCTGGCAGGGGCTTTGGCAGCTGTACCATCCAACTTGCGGGCATCCGTGTATTCGTCTGCCAGACGAGCAGCCTCGGGTAGGGTAGAGGGTTTTCTATCTCTGACCCACTCCCGGACCCCAGCAGGTAGTCTATCAAAGCAGTGCTCCAGCAGGAACACTTGTAGCACCTCCTCCCCAGTTACCGCTTGGCATCCTGCCATCCAGTGGGCTGCGGTACGATGAACTCTGCAGGCCCACTCCACATAAGAGTCCCCAACCAGCTTATTGGTTTCTCTAAACCTCTGCCTGTACGCTTCTGGGGTCACCGCATACCTGGCTAGGAGTGCATCCTTCACAGCCCGGTAGCTGGTGATCTCCTCCTCTGGGATGGCCCGAAACGCTTAACTAGCCCGGCCGGATAATTTCCCAGAGAGGATGGTGACCCATTCATCTGCGGGTACCTGGTGTAGAGCACACTGCCTCTCGAAGTCCGCCAGGAACCCATCAATCTCTCCCTCTGTTTCCACAAAGTTTTTAAATGCAGCAAAGGGTACCTTCTTTCTAGCAAAAACATTATTATTGTTGGGTACCTCTGCTGCTGCAGCTCCTCTTTCCTGGAGCACCTGGTGTGCTGCTACTGCTGCCTGCACACGCTCCACGATGTCAGCTGAGGGGTTGGGGCCAAAATGTGCCAGCCTTATTTGCACTGCCCGGTTAAATTGTAATTCCTCGGGTGTTAAATCCAAGGTACTGGGCACATTGACTCTCTCCATTCCCGGTGCTGCATCCATCTCCAGTAGTACAGCAATAATTTCGTTCCAATATGTCCTTAAGTGTAGCACGCCTTAGTTCCTCGTACTGCATGTCTTGTAGCTGACCTCCAATGCTGTGGGACTCATCCCACCGCTGCCACCAATTGTTAAGACACCTCCAGTGTCTTTAGGCAAAACCGCCGTTTAATAGACCTTCCCCGGCTGCAGTAACAGTAACTCCGTTCGCTTAATCTGTAGTATACGAACCAAATGCAGGGGAAGTGGCAATCTCCCGACCGGGATCCGTGAACGGCTCCAAACTCCCGAACGGCAATACACGAACTGCTGCTAGCCGCCAAACAACAATATTCACCAAGTGGCTTCCGTTCCATCCAGCAGTCTCTAAACGTGAAGAAGAAATCCCCCCAATAACGAGACAGAAGCTCCGCATTGAGGGTCAAACAGGATCTGGCTTTACTGTGGGCTACCTGCCCGTATTTATGCAGGTCTCCCACTTGGTGGACACTCCCCTAGGGGACCAAATGGGAGACTTAAATGACAGACAGATATGGGGACATTCCAGACACACAGTCACAGATTTTACCCACAGTGCATTATGATTCCCTCCCCTCTGCCCTGGAGTTAATTACCAAGTAACTCAATTAACTCCAGGACAAAGCCAGTCGCCATCTTAAATATAAAATCATAAAAGACATAAAAATGCATAACTTCAAAATAACCGAACATTTCCCATTCGTATCACATATCCCCAGATAGCCTGGATCTGAGTGCATATTATTAGCGAATAGCGCTCAGATCCCACACACATAGTTCAATCGCCATGGAGTCAAAGTTCTTACAGTCTTTCGGTATACTAATGACTCCATGGGAAGGCTATCTGGGTTAAGTCTTTTCGTATGCTCCAAATCTCCCGAACGGCCGGTATTCGTATGCTTTCGTGGAGGCAGCCAGGCGTTCCGTTGTTTCAGCAGTGTTCGGCACAAAAAGTGTCAGTTTTTAGTTCCATAGAAATAGAGCCAAACACTGCTGGGCTTTCGCTTGGTTTAAAATGGCCTCTGCCTCGTGGTCGACATACGAACGACGACCACCCTGAATTCGGTTTAATTGAGAAGTGTCTGCGGTTAACCACAACGTTCTAATTGGGATCAATAGGTTAACCAGCAGCACACTTCTCTCCTGGGTGGCCGTCCGTTCGGCAGGTTTGTTCGGGAAAAAGAGTCATTCGAATGGCTGGGCTATAGAAACCAGCCATTCATACGGGAGACAAACAGATGAATGCAATTAAAATACAAGCAGACAGATGGTTCTGTCACACGTTCTAACTGAATGAGAACAGTATGTTCGTTTCTTTTAGAACGCAATTCGGCACTTTATTCGGATCGGAATTTCATTCGAATGAATGAAACTCCGATCCTATTGATTGCTGTGGCTGCATCTTGCAGCCGCTTAGTAGATAACTCCCTAATTCCCACGGTATCAGGGAGCTATCTACTAAAAGGCTGAATGACCTAAACTGGTCTTTCAGCCAACTTTACTAATACCAAGTAATAATTACTTAGTATTAGTAAATAATATTCCCCTACTCGCTATACCGCGAGTAGGGGCATGTCTGGTAAACAGTGAGCAGCCTGTGGCTGCTCACTGTAAAAAATAATAATAATGAGGGGGGGGGACCTACTGCCCCCCCCCGGCCCCCACCCCTGGGTGGCGGATGGGGGCCATAGTGAGAATGCCCCCCCTGGCCCCCACCCCTGGGCGGTGGGTGGGGGCAATAATGAGGGGGGGGACCTACTGCCCCCCCCCAGGCCCCCACTCCTGGGCGGCAGGTGGGGGCCATGAAGATAATGAGGTGGGGGACCTACTGTCCTCCCCCCCCGGCCCCCACCCCTTCTCATTGGGGTGGGGGCCAGAGGGGGGGACATTAGGTCTCCCCTCTTATCTTACTTTAGGGCCCCCACCCATCGTTTAGGGGTGGGGGCCAATAGTTGTTTTTTTATTTTTTTACAGTGAGCAGCCACAGGCTGCTCACTGTTTAGTGGATATGCCCCTACTCACGGTATAGCGAGTAGGGGCATTGGGGAGATTTTAATCTCCCTTGTGCTATTATGGGGGTCATATTGACCCCCATAGAGTTAGGGGGGGCCTGGGGGGGCTTATGAAGTGGTGGGGAGCACTGCTCCCTGCCACTTCTATCTTTACATATTACAAGAAGGGAGCTGCATGCCGGTAGCTCCCTCCTTGTAATAACCTGCATGAACAAGCGAACACTGATACACAGTGTTTGTTCGGCCGATATTTCTATTCATTCATTCGTCTGTCTGATGAATGAATGAATAGATGAAATTCCCGTTCGCATGTCCAGGTGTTTCACTGGGCATGTGCGGGAATCTCACAGGCTATCTAGTGTGGGCTGATGACGTGTCCCACAGGGACTTCATCTACCCATACAAAGATGGCTGCGCCCTGAATATAGATCGGGACAGAAAATAAAGATTAAAAAATGGGTAATGTGGGGGGCTTAGGGGCATTTGGGGGTGACTAGGGTGTTAGTTAGATGTAGTGGAGGCCGGAGGGGGGTTAAAAAAAAACAGGATTCGGCATGACAGTGCCGCTTTAAAGAACAAGATTGCAAAAGCCATGCAAGACACAGGGAAGCCCTGTACTGAATGCCTTGAGATCCTGTTTGGATGTGCCCCAAAGACAGGCCTCTATTTCCCCCCAAACCTCCAGATGTAGCATGGTAGTATGACTGCCTATGTACAGGCCCTACACCAAAGATTAGGCAGGATGCATAAACAAGTCTTTGATTCCATGCCTGATCCAGACTCTGATTCTGCAACTCACAAACTGCAGCCTGGTGATTGGGTGGTGATAAAGAGGTATATGAGGAAAGGACTTGAACCACGCTTTGACGGTCCATTCCAAGTGCTCCTGACTACGACTACCTCAGTTAAACTAGAAGGAAAAGTCACGTGGATACATGCCAGTCCAGGGGCGGACTGAGAGCCTTTGGGGCCCCCGGGCAAAATTAGATCCCAGGCCCTTTGAAGGCCAAATATATGTGCATTTTAATAAATGTTAAATATAATTCATAATACGGCATTCCTTTGGATGTGTGTATTGTGAAGACCTGTGTATCAATGCATGTTTGTATTTGAGTCTGTGTGAATGCACTTGTGCATGTCTGGATGACTACATGTGCTTTTTTTGTATATAGTGTCTGTGTGAATGCATATGTGACAGGTGACAGAGTGTGTGAGGGAGAAGGTGACAGGTGGAAGAGTGTGGGAGGTTGTGACAGGTGGCAGAGTGAGGGTGTACCTGGTGGCAGAGTGAGGGAGGGGTTGAGTGGTGGCAGAGTGAGGGGGAGACACAGTGAGTGGGGGTGACTGGTGACAGAGTGAGGGAGTGGGTGACTAGTGACAGAGGGAAGGAGAGGGGGAGACTAGTGACAGAGGGAAGGAGAGGGGGAGACTAGTGACAGAGGGAGGGAATGGGAGACTAGTGACAGAGTGAGGGAATGGGTGACTAGTGGCAGAGTGAGGGAGGGAAGGGGTGACTAGTGACAGAGTGAGGGGATGACTGGTGACAGAGTGAGGGGGGGTGACTGTCACTAGTCACCCCATCCCTCTCTCTGTCACTAGTTACTCCCTCCCTAACTGTGTCACTGTGTCACCCACTCCCTCACTCTGTCACTAGTCACCCCCTTACTCTGTCACTGTGTTACCCCCTCCCTCTGTCACTAGTCACCCCCTCCCTCACTCTGTCACTAATCACCCCCTCTCTCCCTAGTCACCCCCTTCTTCACTCAGTCACTAGTCACCCCATCCTTCTCTCTGTCACTAGTCACCCCATCCCTCTCTCTGTCACTAGTCACACCATCCCTCTCTCTGTCACTAGTCACACCCTCCCTAACTCTGTCATTGTGAAGGAAGGAAGGGGTGACTGGTGACAGAGTGAGGGAAGGGATGACTAGTGGCAGAGTGAGGGAAGGAAGGGATGACTGGTGACAGAGTGAGAGAGGGGGTGACTAATGACAGAGTGAGAGAGGGTGTGACTAGTGACAGAGTGAGAGAGGGGGTGACTAGTGACAGAGTGAGAGAGGGGGTGACTGTCACTAGTCACCACCTCCCTCTGTCACTACTCCCTCCCTCCTTCTGTCACTACTCCCTCCCTTCTTCTGTCACTAGTCACCCCCTCCCTCACTCTGTCACCAGTCATCCCCTCCCTCACTCTGTCACCAGTCATCCCCTTCCCTCACTCTAGTGACAGAGTGAGGGAGGGGGTGACTAGTGACAGAGTGAGAGAGAGGGTGACTAGTGACAGAGTGAGGAAGGGGGTGACTAGTGACAGAGTGAAGGAGGTGGTGACTGTCACTAGTCACCCCCTCCCTCTCTCTGTCACTAGTGACACCCTCCCTCACTCTGTCACTAGTCACCCCTCCCTCACTGTCACTAGTCACACCCTCCCTCACTCTGTCACTAGTCACCCCCTCCCTCACTGTCACTAGTCACCCCCTCCCTCTCTCTGTAACTATTCACCCCCTCCCTCTCTCTGTCACTATTCACCCCCTCCCTCTCTCTGTCACTAGTCACCCCCTCCCTCACTCTTTCACTAGAGTGAGGGGGTGACTAGTGGCAGAGTGAGGGAAGGAAGGGGTGACTAGTGACAGAGTGAGGGAGGTGATGACTGTTACTAGTCACCACCTCCCTCTGTCACTACTCCCTCCCTCCTTCTGTCACTACTCCCTCCCTTCTTCTGTCACTAGTCACCCCCTCCCTCACTCTGTCACCAGTCATCCCCTCCCTCACTCTGTCACCAGTCATCCCCTTCCCTCACTCTGTCACCCCCTCACTCTGTCACTAGTCACCCCCTCACTCTAGTGACAGAGTGAGGAAGGGGGTGACACAGTGACAGAGTGAGGGAGGGGGTGACTAGTGACAGAGTGAAGGAGGTGGTGACTGTCACTAGTCACCCCCTCCCTCTCTCTCTCTGTCACTAGTGACACCCTCCCTCACTCTGTCACTAGTGACACCCTCCCTCACTCTGTCACTAGTCACCCCCTCCCTCTCTCTGTCACTAGTCACCCCCTCCCTCTCTCTGTCACTAGAGTGAGGGGGGTGACTAGTGACAGAGTGAGGGGGGTGACAGAGTGAGGGGGGTGACAGAGTGAGGGGGTGGCAGAGTGAGGGGGTGACAGAGTGAGGGGGTGACAGGTGACAGAGTGAGGGAAGGGGTGACTAGTGACAGAGTGAGGGAGGGAGTGGGTGACCAGTGACAGAGGGAGGGGGTGACACAGTGAGGGAGGTGGTGACTAGTGACAGAGTGAGGGAGGTGGTGACTGTCACTAGTCACTAGTCACCACCTCCCTCACTCTGTCCCTAGTCACCCCTCCCTCTGT